GTTGGATACAGGGAATCACCCCCAGTGACGTCTTTGTCTCATTCTCCAACAAAAGCAGAATAGCTCTGCTGTTGCCTTTAGAGCTGGAGCCCTGCAGACCTGTCCCCTGCTGTCCCCTGCTGTCCCCGGCTGTCCCCATGCCTGCTCTGCTCTCCTCCCCATCCTGCCCCAAGCCCTGTTTTGTAAAGACACCTCCTCTTGCCCCTGCCTGGACCCAAGCGCAGTATTTAATACCGTACGTCCTAGTATTCCCACTGTTGACATGCTGTATTTGAATTTTTTATAGATGTATATATATAAAAAAAAAAAAGAATCAAAAAAAATAATAATAGAGGGGATAAAAAAAAAGCTCACACAGAGACAACGCACACATGCACACACACACACGCACCAGGAGCGACTGTCTTCATTAAATGATCATTTCATGATGACTGGCAGCTCCGGGTGTTTCTCTGGGTGTTCTTTCCCCTCCGGCTGGAGTGGGTGGGTTCGGCTGCCCGCTCCCATGCGTGGTGCTGGCTGTGACGGGGAGGACATGGGAACGGCAGTGAGGGGGACACAGACACCTTGGAGTCTGCACTGGGGCTTGAGTCCGTAGCATCGTCTTCCAGGGGGGTGGGGGACCCAAAATCTGGCCTTTGGGACATCCTGAGAAGGTATGAGGCAGGAGGATGGAGAACTGCTGGCGCCCCGCTGCAGCCGGGGGGGCTGGAGCTGGCACGTAGTCCCAATTAATGCGCTTTCCTTGTCTGATTAATAATTTCACATTAAGAAAATGCCACTGACCCAGATGCTCTGAATTAAACTTCCATCAGGGCAGAGCTCACGTGGATCTGGCGTGGGGGCAACGGGCTCAGCAAAGCACGCTGTTATCAGGGTCTGGCCTCTCCCGTCTGCCTTGCTTGTAAGCCCCAACTGGAGCAGAGATGTCATGGAGCTGCAGTCCATCCCTTGGGGAGAAAAGCTTGGTTTTTTAAGAAAATTGCCTGCCTGATGCCCCAACAGTATCTCTGCAGTCAGAAGATCGGTGGATGGACGGATGGATAGATAGGTGGGGTGGGTGGAGGGAAGTAGCCACAGCCCTGGCCCTGCAAAGCCTGAAGACAGCACCAAGGTGGTCACTAGCTCCCACCAGGCACTTGCTATGATTTTTGCCATGACGGGGTTTTATTGGAGGAGATCTCAGTCCCATGCAGCCCTGCCTCTGGCTTGGTCATGCCAGCAGCAGCGCTGCCCCGTGTGCTGGCTTGGTTCACTGGTTAATGTTCCATCACCAGACAACATGCCTCCATCATTTATTAATGTTTCATTAGTGTTAAAAACATCTGGTAATTAATTATGCACTAATTATGGATTCACAGTGCTAAAAGCCAGGGTAATCTACCATAGCAGATGGCTTTTCGGGGCAGGGGGAAGGGACGGCTCTTAGCAGAGATGAAAATGTTAAGCCCAGCCCTTGCCTGAGGGAAGCATCCCAGACAGACAGATTTCCTTCATCTCCACCCAGGATCTCCATGCCTGGTCCGGAGGCATGCTCTCTCGGGTTATTTAGCAGAGGAAACCCATCCCTCTCAAGCTGTTTCAGGGACCAAGTGAGCCGTGCTCCCACTGCACAGGGCAGCTGTATGAGAAGCCATCTGAGAGCGGTGGCTTTCGCACAGAGCCCCTGGCACCCTCCGGCTCCTGGAGATGGCACGCAGCCTGCCGCCAGCTCCAGGATGCCATTCGTCGGCCCCTCAGCTGTGCCTGGCCATCTTAAGTGGCAGTCCATAAAGCAAAGGGTGTCGTAAAAGCCCACTCGTGAAGTGCCCCAGTAATATTACGTACAGATGTGCAGAGATGTTTCAAACTGGGAAAGGTCCCAGGGGAGCATCCCTGCCAAGCAGAAAATCCATCCACTTAGCAGTATAAATCCATACAGGAAGAAAGGGGGAATTACAGTGCTCAGAGAGACCTGTGCATCGCATAACCTGAAATCCAATACATCAGCCGGGCGCAACGAGTCCCTGCATCCTCCCAGCACATATGTGGCAGTAAATCCCACCTTAGGTGTTGTTTTCGGCTGTTGCTGATGAGAGAGCAGCCTTGCACTGAGCTCCGCAGGCTCTGCAAGAGGGATCAGAAGTGCGGCTGGAAAGCAGGAGCTGTTTCCTGGCCGTGAGGCCTCGTAGGAAGCAGAAAGCCCCCTCGCTTGAGCAACGGGCTGAGCAGCGGAGTGGGTTCGAATGCAATTCCTGCATCCTTCTCTGAGGCGGGTGCCAGCAAATAACTCATCTTCCCTGACCCAACAGTCACAGAAGCTCCCTGCTCCCATGCCAGCATCGCAGGAGCCTGGAGCCCTCAGATGATAACAAGCAGCTTATTTATCAGAAATTAGTCTGCCAGCGCTGAGATTTTGGGCTTCAATGTGACACCACACTTTGGTGGACCAGCAGGCATGGTGCCGTGCATTTTGGCTCTGGCAGAGCATTTAACATTCCCAGGTGAGAGCAGAGAGGCAGAGGGGTGTGAAGGCAGGCCCGGCTGCCAAGAAAGCAAGCTGATAACTGAACAGCCAGACCCAAGCATGAGAGTCTCCTGCCGAGCTGGATGGAAATGCCAGGTGGGATCCACCAAATCAGCTGGCAGAGGAGAGCTGCTGCTTGTTTCCACAAGGATAGACCTGGTCCCCAGTGGGCAAACATCTTCCTCCACCACAACAAGAGGGAGAGGTGGGAGGTGGAGGCAAATGCAGCAGAAGGGGGTGGGAAGGTGGTCCGCAGGGTGAGAGCATGAAGAGCAGCATCTGTGAGGGGTGAGGATGCAAACAGATTCAGCTTGACTTGGAGCAGCCCAGACTCCCCTCATCCTCGACAGGTAATGGTGTCAAGTCCAGCAAAATGCAAGAGGCCACCCCAAATCACGAGGTATTGGTTCAGAAAATGCCCATGTCTCCTGTACAGAGCTGTAGCACTGGATGCCATTGGCACATTATAGTCTTCCTCCAGGACTTTCTTCCCTAGCAGCAGGAGGGATGGCTCAGACACCAGGGTCCCACCATGAGGAAAGGCTCCTGCCTACTACCAGTGGTGCAGGAACGAGCCCAGGAGCTTTGAGTGATTCAGCCACCACCATACAGAGACGCAGACGGAGTTGCAGGTGGGGTCCCTGGGAGTAACAACAGCCCCGGGCACCCCCACAATGCTCTAGGGCAAAAGCTTGTACCAGCAAGAGGTAACAGATGGTCACAGCAGACTGCAAAGGACAGCCTTGGACTGTCCTGTTCCTTGGTGGCTGCAGATCAGGACCTGATGCCTCTCCAGAAGAGGCTGTCTGTTGTTTGCAGAGCATCGAAGCATGACTCTCTTCTTCATCATGTCCGTCCTGAATGGCTCAGCCTCCGTCCTGGTACCATGTCCCTGGTCCCCAGACACCTCTGCATGCAGCCTCATGCCCTCCCTCCCCACCAGACCAGCTCTGACACCTCCTCAACCTCCAGTTACACTATGGCTCCATGGGGAGCACCAGCTACTGCCTCCCCAGCTCCCCATCACCCCCCAAGTGCTGTGATCTCCCTGCCCACCTCCAGTCTGTCCCAGTCCCCTGCCTGTTCTGGCCCGGG